GCTTCACGCGCACACCTCCATCAACACACAAGAAAACACTTTAAGGACCCACACTCTCTCCCTTTCTTTACACACCGCCTCCCTCCTCCACACGGACGCACAAACACAAAATGGCCTAAGGTTAACCCCCACCCTCATCTGAAGCCGCAGAGGTCAAAGGACACCGCGAAGGCAACTGCAGGAATTCCCCACTGCTGCTGTTTGGTAGCCCTCAGTCTCTCAGCCATGCAAACACTGTCCGCTCACAGCCTGTTTCTGCAGACTTAAACAATTTCCTGCCCCCTCTTGAGACTTCTTTAAAATGGGAAAGATTTGCATTTGAGTGTATGCTGACACACTCACCGCCTATCTCGCCTTCACTCTTTCTTATCAGCACGTTTTGGAACAAAAAACAAAGACATGCTTTAAGCTGGTTAGCAGCCCTCTATTTTAAATACCTCTACGGGGTAAAAAACAAAGAAGAAAACATTTTTTCTGCAGGAAATATTTTTTCTGTACTTCTTTTCTACACGGCATGAAGCACAATGTTGTGTATCATTGTGTGTCAGGACATGCAACTGGCAAAGCTGGCAAAATGATTGCTTGAGAAAATGGCTGCAAAAAGGGTGATCTCACTTTAAAGTTTGACAGTTGATGAAAGTGTTCCATGTGTGGACTTCCACAATTGCAAAAAAAAGGCAGGTCCGGGAAGTGTGAGTGAGTCTTTGCAGGCCAACGGCAGCAACTGAGGCTGAGAGGAGGATTTTTATTTGTCTGAATGGACCCCACTGACCAGATGTTTGAGACACCTGGAATGGATGTACTACAGCGTGGAAAAAGGAGACGCTTGGTGTCCTCTGAGACTGCAGAACCAAACTAAGTCTGTGTCTAGCTTAGAATATTTGAAAAGCCTAAATCTCCACTCTACTCCAAAGCTTCCACTCCTTTGTTGACCCAAAAAATACTCCAATTAAACAGTTGTTACTTGTTACTTGTTAACAGCGAATGGATGAATGAGAGATAGATAGATAGATAGATAGATAGATAGATAGATAGATAGATAGATAGATAGATAGATAGATAGATAGATAGATAGATAGATAGATAGATAGATAGATAGATAGATAGATAGATAGATACATGCATACATGCATACATGCATACATGCATACATGCATACATACATACATACATACATACATACATACATACATACATACATACATACATACATACATACATACATACATACATACATACATATTTGTCCAGTTTTTCCCGCCTCTAGGGCTTCACAGAGTAATTTCCTTTCAGTGTATTCCATAAACAGACAGAGATGGGACTCCCGGCTGCACATACCTCACTCCCATCCAGTTCACCTGCTCTCTTCTTCAGCTGTTCACATTTGCGCTGCTTGCAGATCTGTTTGCCCGTCTTGCGGTTCAGGCAGTTCACGCAGAAACCGCAGTTCTCTCTGCGGAGGCAGGGGCCGCAGGCTCCACATTTCTTCCTCCTCTTCCTCTGGAGGTCAAGTGCCGCATCTTGAACTGAACTGAACGGGGACAGGGAGAAGAGTCCTGCCTGCTGGTGTTCGGCCTCGATGAATTTGCTAAGCGGGGAAGTCTTTTCCAGGCATTTTGTCTGCATGAAGAAGGACCGAGCCTCCTCCCCATCCATAGATAACTCATGACTGTCTTCAGGTGGAGGGCCTGGCCCTGCCATTGGTCTAGGCATGGTGCCAATAATATGTTATTATTACAGTAATGTCTAAATTAAAAAAACATTCATTAAAAAAACTGTTGTGTTTTAAAAACAGAGTCTAAAATCAACACCATAAAAACAGCAAATGTCGCATCAATAGTCGTCTGCACTTGTTTGAGGATTGTCTGGCCTTAAAAAAATGGTCTTGAATTCTTCGTTCAATTCAACCAACCGATAAAAGTCTCAGGTCCATTTAGGATGTCGATAAAAAGTTGGCTGGGCGTTCATCGGGTCACACGGACCAATCATATTACTACAGCGTAGTTGGTCACCCAGGACGCCCATGAAAGCCCTTGTCTGGTGTCCATCTATCCTGAATATCCTGAGGAGTGGTTGGCGGACAACCACTATGTTGGGAACATTGATGGGACTCAGATATTCATGGCATTGTCTCCCCAGCCAGGGCACTGTCTGGAACTGTGGGGAGATTAAAAAAAATGGCAAAGACAATTAAAACATATTCAAGTTAAGCAAAGAGAAGAAAAAGCTGCCTGTCACTGCCTGTCATATATAAACATCATGTTCAAAACCTGTGGCCACTTATTTAAAGTTAAAATGCTGTGCCCAAATTGTAAGTCTAGCTGTTGTCTGGTATCGTCTGGTTTTAAGACACAGCTGTCGGCCCTGTGCGTGGAGTTGGCCGTCAGCCATGCAGGCGTACGCGCGCGGTTTGAGAAGTTACTGTGTTTTAATGGCAGACCCCACTTGGACCGGGGGGGGTATGTCTCCCTGAATGAAAGAGGGGGATGATAGGTTGATGCCAGGACCGGCCCTCTTTGTTTCGGGGTCGTGCACTCCAGTCAACCGTCAGTAAAATGAATTGTGCTGTGAAAAAAAACAGTGTTTCCTTCCCAATGCCTGGTTTCACATCCAGCTGGGAGGCAGGTTTTTTCCCCCTCATATCAAAGTTTGGGGACAACCTAAATGTCGGGCAGTATGGCGACCATTTTTTCTTTTTTATTCGATTTTGTAATATACATTGTTAGTAAGTATTTAGCTTGTCATTAATATATTTCATTATAAAGGATTGCTGGGTAGCTCAACAGTTTGAGGCAACAAGACTAGGGCCTCTCCACCATTTAGAGTCAATGGATCTACACCCACTTTCACAGTGGTCTCCTCATGCTGCTGTAACTAAGCTTATTCCTCTGTTTTCACCATTTATCACTGTGATATAAATGGTCAAATATGATCTAATGAAGAAAATAGTTAAGGGTTTTGCGGGAGAATGTCACGCTAACAATAAATAAACCTCTCTGTGAGTGTCAAAAACATCAAATGCACTTTTAACTCAGCAGATAAACTAACAACATTAAGCTAATTAAAGAGTTAAAACTGGCAAATGGCACAAGTAGAGTTGGTGCGTTCGAGTTTGAATTGGGTGAATTAATGTTCGGTTGAGCTGAAATAAAACTTGAGTGTTCGGTTGGTGGGGTTTTTAACTACGAGCTGTAAATCACGGAACACGTGGCCTGGCCCGCGTGCGAGGCGCTAACGCGCGCGCCAAGTCACAACTGTCAAGTCGGTAATGAGCTGCCCTCCGCTACTGTTGTTATTGTTACTGTACGTCCACGTGCTCTGCGGCGGGAGCCCCAGCTGGGGGGCCAGACCTGCCCACCGCGATGAAAGCCGTCAGATAACAGCGACTAACAGCTGGAGTGTGATTTACATTAAGATACGGCCTGTTATCTGCGCCCAAAACACACCCGGAGCCGCGCGGAGGGGCACGCGGCGCCTTAATTAGTTCAGGTGACAAAAGCGCCACTTTCCCCGTTCGGATTGACGCCCGCGCGCGACTTCTCCCGTCGTCTGGGAAGTTTTCAAATGTGTGATTTTCTTTCGTCAATTCATCAATGATAAGAGCCGTTAAGGCCCGAAATTAAGAAAAGGAAAACATAAAAGAAATATTTCAAGCAGTTAAAAAAAAAAGTTAGTACTCACCATTAAAAACTTTCAAATTCCTCCTCGCGCTAGCTTGTCGTTTATTAGGATAAATTGTAGGGAAAGCATGCGAGGTGAAACATAGTAACAGTTAAAGAGCCAAAGCGATTTCAAATATCTTGAATATCTCTTTAAAAACGTAGAGGGAGGATAAAGTTAAAGCCTTGTGACATGACTCTGCCTCTGAGCTGCTGTCTGGTCGATGGAGAGGAGGAAAGGTGGTATCCTTTGAGAGGGTCGAAGTCATCAGTAAGTTATGGAGTGGAGTCCCGCCAACAGGACCAAAGGGGGAGGGGTCACGTCACACGGTTAGGGGCCAAGGGTCCGAACTGGCCCCCCGAGGGCTTGACCAGTGAAGTCCTCGTGACTGGACAGTCTGAAATGATCTCCACCAGTCGATCACATCAAGAAAAAGAGCGTAGTAACAGAAACAACACAAAAAAATAAATACAAATAAAAAAACAGATGTGAGGACACCTAAAACAGCCCCAGAGTCGAAATTAATAGAATTACCATGTTATGATCAAATAAAACGATGCAAATAACGAGGATAACATTTTTATAATTATTTTTAAAAATAGGCACACTTCAGTATTGGCATCTTTGGCTTTCAATTCAAGGTCAGCCTTATATAGTTATCGTTATGGGAACGATAAGCCAAATGTCCCTTTAATTGTTCCATTTATGGAGCAAACTGAGTGTAAGATTAAATACAGATTTTCTTTCTTCTTTTTTAAAGTGGACCTAGAAAATTGATGGATTTTCTTTTTTTTTAGCATACTATCCTGTTACCAGATGCTTTAGCCTGTGACTTGTGAATCGGATTGGACATTTGCTACTTTGTCTTGACAGCACTTCCATCAGCTCCACTCGTCGCAGCATGAAGCTACCACCACCATGCTTATCAGTGGGTCCAGTTTTTGTGGGCTGAACGCCTCAGCTTTACCCTTCTGGATAAAACTTTGCTCCGTTTGGCCACGGCTTCTCAGTCGGGGACAACAAAAAGCCAGGACTTTGGTGATCCGGCCGCTTCCAGGCCCATGTCTTTGTGCTTCCCGGGGTTGCAGCCTTATTTCCTGTCAGCTGAGAGCGACAGTTTGCATGTTGGACCAGATATGTGCTGCACCACCCTCCCCCTGGAGCTTGCGTCACAGTCTGTCACATTCGGTTGTCTGAACTGATGATGAAATCTGTAGTGGCTCAGATGTGAGGACGCCTCTTGAAAACTATGCCTGAATTTAGACAGTTTCCTTCCTCAGTTATTGTGACTTCACAATGGGGTTTTTTGTGCATTTATTCAATTCTCTGCATCATCCTCCAATAACTGAGCTCTATCTTGTGTTAAACCATCTCATATAAAGGTTTGTGACCGGAACCATCACTAAAAACCGACATCCGAAAGCAATAAAAAGTTATAAAGATGCCATAACTGATGATTTGATATTCAACTGGAAACATTTTTTTAAAGAATTTGTGTTGGGACCCTTGTGGCACGTCATATGTTTATTTCTTTAAATCGCTTTGACACTGCAAAAGTCAAAGCTCTGGAGGTGCCTCATTTCTCCACACCGACTGGTATGTTCTCATTTGATAAGCAGATCATCAGGTTTTGTCCGTGTTGCAGCTCTGAGAGCAGAAAGTGGGCTGCATTCAGACCCAGAGGCATGAATGAATCACTTCCCTCGCTCCCTTTGTACTACTTAGTCCGAATGAGCTCAGTTGCCATGACGATGTTCAGTATTGTGTTTTACAGTAATAAAAATACGCACTATGTAGTATATTGGTACGGCAAGGGATGTGACGGGCACCGAGTTAAAGATATGCTGATTTAATGCAAAATTCTTGGAGGACTGAGCAAAAGCATGACGACAGGAGCATAATTAATCAAATGAAAACTGTGTTTAATAAATAATATTTAAACGAAACAGATGGACGTGTTCCTTAGCGTTTGGAAATGTTAGTACCAGCTGATGTAAAAGTGCCTGATTCCAGTGTCTCCCTCTCGTTTGTCAGTATACGCACAGCAGAAAAAAAACACAAAAAACGACAAATCATTAAAAGTCAGGGCACAAACAAACAGAACACGGAAAAAGGTGATTCAAAAGAAGAGGAAGAGAAGGACAGTGACAGCTTCATTACAGAGAAGAGCGAGGATCAGTAGGGGCTGAATCTGGAACATCTGGGAGCTTCTTCAGAGGAGAAAAGGCACCTCTAATCTTTAACTTGGGGGCTTCTCAGCACATAAGTCTGACTCACGTCAGCGGCTTCCCCGGCTTTTTTTTTTTTTTACCCCTGCAGAGGTCCTTTGAGATGACAAAATACTGAATTTCTGAGCTGCAGCACAGGCCGCCTCGTCCCCTTAAGAAAAACTCTAGGATTGTACAATAAACTCTTTTTTTTCTATTTTGAGAGCCTGAAATTGCGTTTTGAGTCAGCGTCTTGACACAGCCATCTCATCTTTGTTCTGACAGAAGCTACCAGTAGAGTGTACAGCGTCTAAGACGAGAAAGCTGAGCCGGACAGAGATGGAAAAGACCCAGTCCCAGACTCACTGAGAGCTCCGACCTGTTGAGGTTTCATTTCTATTTACAATGGTCTGCTGGAAGTGCTGCATGGCTCCTCCATTTTGTGTGTAAACCATGGTCGGTAAAAGCATAAACACAGGGAATACACAACCCCCCCCCACCCCAAACAGTCTCTTGGTGGTTTGGTCCGGCGGTCCTGCGGCAGTCTCTTTAAGTCCGGACCTGGAACTTGCCAGCCTTGGTCATATACTTGATGCCCTTGAAAGGTTTGTACTTTTCGCCGTACATGTCGAGTCGATTTACCTTCAGCCCTGTCAGAGACACAGATATTAACAGAATTGAGGCTTTGTGTGGTTTCAACCCCCCAACCCGGACATTTCTGCAACCTCGGCTCCTCGTCCTTAACGGAGCGACAGGTGGATGGACCTCAAACAGCATCTTAAAACGAAGACCAAAATCCTAAACCTGAGGCCCTGTTCCCTCTTTTACTGTTAAATTTCCCATGTCTGCTGAGGAACTTCATGAGTGAGATTCAGAACGTTCATCTCTAGCTGGACAAACAAACAGGGAAATCCACTTCTTCATTAGTGGAAAGATTTTTCTTTAAAAAACAAAAAACAAAAAAAAACAAAGGCTTGGACTTTCAGAACACACGAGAATGATGTAAAAAGAAGAAAACGCGTTGCAGATTGTCGGGAAGTAGTGGCTGTGTTTTTCCAGAATTTTCCAGAAGTCATAAAAAGCTCTGGGATATTAAAATGAAATCCTGTGGTATTTGTTATATTCTAAAAAAGCATTTCAGCTTGTTTAATCGCTCTTCTGCCTCCAAATTCTGCACATCCACAGGCATCCAAATCATCTCACACAAAGCTATAGATGGAGGAGGGTTTAATGTTTGATAATAAAATGGTTTTCAGTGCGTTTTGGGCCAGAAACAGTCGCTACAGTAGCTACATTTCTATCACTCTGCTGGGAAAGACCGCATTGATGTCCTCAGATTAGGTTCTGATGTCATGTGAGGAACATTTGTTGCCTCTGGCACCATCTAGTGGTCACCAGCTCACACCGCGTGAGTCAGGTGGTTGTCAGCTGCTTCAAAAAGAAGGGGGGGGAGGTCATTTCCTGCCCCTCCCAACACAGAGTGGGAATTCTGATCAGAAATGAACGATCACTTGAATCCAGCCCTCAGAGACACACGGTGTTGACTAAAGCCACTAAAGATAAAGTCAGGTTCAGATAAAGTCCAGGTGTGCGCTCGTACCTGAGATGGCCATCTGTTGGATCTTGAACTGGATGTTTATGGTGGGGTTCTCGTCGGGTTTGGAGGCTCCGGCCTGCAGGCTCATGGTGCCTTTCAGGCTGGGAAGCTTCTGTGGGTTGATCTTACCGACATCCCATGTCAATAACTGGCAAAAGAGGAGAAGACGGCACAGGAAACATGAGCTGAGACAAAGCCGGTGCATTCTCTCCTGCTGTGAGTGAGGAGCGTCCCTCTCTCCGTGGGCCTGCATGCTCCGGATGGGACTCAAAGGATGGCGCGTACCTTTGTGACTGGGTCGAAGGTGTAGGTGCCCTGGGACGGGTTGAGGCTGGCGTTGAGGACGCCGCGCGGCAGCTGGCTGCTGACCAGGACCGACTCCACTGCCTTGCCCATGGTCTGTTTGGGGCCCAGGGTCAAGTCGAAGCGACCCTGAGAGCTTCCCTCCCGGAAGGAGATGTTGTGCTTGACGTAGACAGGGATGGCCACCAGGCTGGGGAAGGGGAGGGAAGGGGGGGGAGGTCAGCACACAAAGTGTTCAGAGGAGCCCGTGCAGAGGCACATTTGCACTTCAGGTTTGACGTTGTCAGTTTAAAGGCTAACTTTTGAGAGCTGACGTGGTAGGAGAGCAAGCGGAAGTTTCCGTCAGGTGGGATGAAGGAGAGGATCCGCTCGGCTTCCCAGCGCTTAAAGCGGACGCACGGGTGGAAGCTGACGTCGTCCAGCAGCCGCGGATTCTGAGGAAGAAGAGCCAGAAAACTTAGACTGAAAGTTGGATTAAGAACGACTCTGTAATGATCTTTTCTCCGCTTGGTATTCCTTTAAATTCAGGAGATTTAAAAGAGGAAAAACTGATGATCTTAACCGTCTTTTATAGAAGAATAACAATAATAACAAAAAGGAAAACTAAGAAACAGTTGTGTGTCTGGTGGTTGTCAGAGCAGCTTCACACGTGGAAAAGTGCTCAGTCCAACCCTTTAAATAAAAAATTAAAACACTTCTCTTTGACTCTTTAGCTTCACGCTGTAATGAATTTAAGAACTTAGCGTGGTTAAAAATTATTTCTGAATCTATTTTTTAATTGCGATGGACTGGCAGACTGTCCAGGGTGTACCCTGCCTCTTGCCCGTTGACCACTGGGATAGGTTTCAGTTCCCCCCGCGACCCCATCAGTAAATAAGCGGTAATGATAATGGATGGATGGAAAAGACAATAACAAAAAAAAAACAACTCACCATGAAAGAGAGAGTGAGGTCGGGCATCCCTGTCAGTTTCACACAGGCGTCAATCACTCCCTGGATTTCGGCTGTGATGGTGGAACCTGCAGAAATAAGCAGCAAAGATGCTCTCAGAAGCATAAAAAGTCCAAAAGCCAGCAAACGGCAAACCGTGGCCCCGCGAGACTCTACCTGATTTATCAATGATGGCATCGATCTCCTCCACCACGTCGAAGTAAGCCTCGTTGTTGGTGTACTTGACGCCGGTGCGTCTCCAGGGCACCACCGACAGCTGTCCGGTGGGGAGTTGCTCTCCAACGTTGGTGCTGCCTGGAAGAAAACCGGCACACCGTTTACAAGGAGCCTCTTCTCTTAGTTCTGCGTCTGCTCAGCCTGAGAAGCCGCAGCCTGGCATAGCCGGTGGGGCAGAAACCTGTGATGGTGTTGACCATCGTGCGCAGGATGGTGGGAGGCTTGATGAGCTCCTTGAGGATGTTGGACTCGGTGGCCAGGGGGAAGCCGTTGTCCAGCATCTCCTCCAGCAGTTCGTAGACGACTACCACATTATCTTTAATGGCCGCTTCCGTACACACCCCAAAGTAGTCCTGAGGAGCGAGAAAACACGTGTTATGTGTGTGGATCGAGGCCGCCGTGTGCTAAAAGTGGGCAGAAAAACACCCCAGCCTCCTCCCTCCCTCACCTGGAAGGTGTCCACGACTCTGTGCAGGAACTCGATGACAAACAGCGGCGGCACCTCGCTCTGGATGACGGCCACAAAGTAGATGCGGTGCCTGAGCACGCTGATGAGGTAGTGGTGCGGCGTGGGGATGACGGGGGGCACGTTCTCGGGCTCCGTGGCGCGCTCCTGGGCCTCAAAGAAGTAGTCGCACACCGAGCGGCTGACCACGCTTTTCCAGTGCTTCTCCAGGAAGATGTCCCCCGAGGCGTTTATCAGGAACAAGCTGTGGATCATGTTGACCTAAGGCTGAGAGCCTAAAATGGAAGGGGGAAAAAAAAAACCGTGGGGCGTTTAGTTGATGCAGGAAAACAAACAAGCACTGAACCTGAAAAGTTTGCTGTTATTTCTGGAGCAGTGGACTTAAAACTGCAGCAGTTAATTATTTGATATCAGCCCCCTCTGAGGGGTAATTTACTCATTTTAGTAAGAAAGAAAAGAGAAAAATTTAGCTAATTGATAAAGGCTTGAAACAAGAAAAAAAAGTCCCTCCTCACATGACAGCTGCCGGCTGGAACATGACACCGACACAGTCATTAAACATGAAGAAAAAGCTATCCAGTCCCCCCCGGATGAAACTTAACCCAGCCTAGAATCCTTACTGTTACACTAACGACCAACAAAAAATATCAAGCTAATGAATATCTAGCTATCTGTAGCACATAGCACACGAAGGCCTCCATCTCTTCACATCAGGATGCTACATCCGACCTGCCTCCTGACTCAGTCTCATGACGGGAAAAGCTCCGTCTTCCGTGTCCCGGGGTAAACTAACCATCAAACGACGGTTCATATGTGTCGGCTATCAATTCAGCTCCTAAAACCAACCACTCGCGAACGTCCAAAGACTTACCGAAGCTATTGTTCTTCAGGTTTTCGTCTCGCCTTTCGCCTTTTCGCTCACTGAAAGCTTAAGCAGCCGTCGTTGCTTCCCGTTAGGCGGAGCAGAATATCCTGATCCCTGACGGGATGGACGTGAGCAACGGACCAACCAGCGGCCAGAAAGGCTTCAAAGTCCCGCCTACTCAACGAAGATACGGGTTAGAAATGCGGAAGCTGTTAGCACGTGATTGATCTGTGATTGGCCCATAGCCGGAGCGCAAGAGTAAATATCAGAGAAACTGTATGCTTATTGGCTTTGAAATGTACCTGGTCTGACATTTTGTTTCCAGTATCAGATTTCATCTTGTGCTGTTCGTATGCATCAGTTTGGCATGTATGGCCTTACTGGAAAAAACACAATGCACCTCCAGGGAAATTATAAATATTAATAATATATCAAATTTAAATTTAATTAAGGTAAAGAAAACTGTTACATTCTGTGTTATTTATTTAAAACAGTAAACATGTCAAGCTATTTTCCAAGTTCTGAAAAGTTCTAATTATTAGTAAGAATGATATTGATAACTCGTGACTAATGAGTGCAATGAAATACATATAATCAGGATTAAGATACATTTATTGAATCCATAAAATAGCCAGCTCTAATCCACATGACCCTTACCCTGAACTTCAGACACCTGTTTTACATATTTATTATATATCGTGACAAATTTTACCTGGTATTAATCCCCATTTATTAAACAGCCATTTGTGCTTTCAAATACTCTGCTTAAATGTCTTTGCCATGGGGGGAAAGGTCTTGTGGCTTTAGTGGGGCATTTTAAATTTCAAACCAAACAATGATAATGTTATTGTGCACATATCTTCCATTCATATCTAACTTTATGTAAATAACGCTGTGCTGAAAACTACATTTGAGTCAGTCTTCCTTCTTCATTTGATCAGTTTTACGTTTCATTTGTAGTGATTGAAACCGTAAAAAAACACCTAAGCAGATGTTCACCATCTGTGCTGCCGTTTGACTTTAAACATCAGCACCAGTTTAAACCGTGGAACTCCACGTTTGGAGACATTTCACTAAGTTTGACAGGGATGTTTCCTAAAAAGGCAGCAAGAGAGGGAAATTATTGATTCAACGAGGACATCTAGTGGTCACAAATTGTTAAAAGCTAAGAAACCAAAAATGATTCGCACAGATTGCTTACTGGCAATAGGATCTGAGTAACTTAACTCTGAGGAATGCTGTGATGGCAAATTCAGTGACAGACAAGTAATCAGAGTTTCCTGCTTCTGTTTAGAGGTCAGATAATCTGTGTGTATGATGGCAAAGACCTGGTAATGTATTGTTATGATGAGAATTTGTGAGAGAAAAGTTAACAAAAAGCTTCCAAGCCCTGCGGTGGAGGCAAAGAACGGAGGAGGATTGAAACTGGTTGCAAATGAAGATGAGAAGGCTGTAGATCAACTTGAGAGCAGGAGTGTAAGAATCCTTTCAGAATTAGATGTTTTAAACATACGAAGCCCCTGAGCCTACACGGAGACTATATGCAGTACTGTGGATTAGTTCTTTGTGAAAAAATATTGCAAAATCCCTGACTTTTCGCTCGTGTGCATCAGATAATTGATGCTTCTTTGAAGGCCAAAGGTCATAACAAAAAAGACTTTCAACAAATTGATAGAAATAAACTACAATCTGGCCAGATTATAAAAAACGCGGGAATCCCAAAGGGTTGGAGTGCGTTTTCAGGCAAAGGCGAAGCCTCCTGGAGGCACCCTGCTGGTTTGTGGCCACATTTCTGCAGATGAAGCTGGAGATCCGGTCAGGATTGGTGGTGTCCTCAAAGCTAAGCAATAAAGTCAGATATTTATCCACCAGGGCGCTGGGTTGGCTCTAAATTCATTCTACAGCAGTACAAGGACCCCAAATTATGCATCAATGGTCGTCAAGAGCCATCTACAGCAGAAAAAGCCAGAGCCCCATTGTCCACACCGTCTGGGATCACCTGAAGAAATCAAGGATGAGGAAGCCTGCGTCCTGTGGAGTTCTATGAGTTTGTAACAACCTACCTGCTGATTTCTTCTGTTCACTCACTGCATTGTGTTAATTTATGAAAATAAAATAAACCTGTTTTCATACCCGGCCACAAATCTCTGCGCATCATCTAAATATGTATCATCTATATGTATAAATAGAAATAAGTGACTAACTTTAACAATCGAGCAAAAAGGAAATAAACTGAGGAGCAGCGTTTTTGGGGATTGTTCAGAAAGTCCTTTTGGTTTTAAAACAGGAAAAAAACTTAACTGGACTTTAACGCCCAGAGGAAAGAAAAATAAAAAGTCCAGGCTTGAGCGGAGAAGAAGGAAACATGAGTGGCTCAACATAATTTATTTTCATTTTATGTTAAAATGTACAGAGTTCTTTGAAAGTACTTGCTAAGAAAGAAAAAACAAAAAACAAAAACAAACAAAAAAAAAACGAATAAATGGAAATACATACAGGGACAGAGTTGAGAGGCGAGGTGTGCGAGCGCTGGTCCACCTTCACTGTGCGCTCGCCGTCACCCCGCCTCTTTATTTTGCGCTCTCTCTCTCTTAGCATACAACGCAACATGTACAATTACAAAGGATACAAAAAGGGAAGCAATATAAACAGACAAATATACTGAGCTCATTTTTACATGCCTCTTAAATGTAAGGAAATCATCCTATACACACACGAGTAAAAAACAAAACCAAAAGGAAAAGAATGCCAAGTGACCTTTAGATATCTTGTAGTCCTTTTTCTTTAAAATAGCATTAATATACTACACAAAGATAGAAAAACTCTAGAGATGAGATGGAATGGAGAGGTTAAAGGCATCTTAAAGTCACTAAAAGTGAGTGGTAATTTTTTTACATTTTCAATTTCATAGTAATTTTTTACCCAAGAGGCGAGCTAAAAAATATGTCGTCTTTTTTATTTTTATTTTTTTTATTCTTGTCGTTTCCTGAAACAGAGGTGAAAAAAATGACAGTACCAATATCAATGTCGGAATTTCCTTTTTATATTATAGAAAAACATTTTCTCTACAACAGGTTTCTAAAGTCAAAAAGAGTCAGCTTGTGTCATAAAAGAAAGCTGCCCAGTCTGATAAAATTCAGAAAAAGAAAGGACCAGAGGAGAGGAAGTACGGAACAGAGGATTTGCGTGTCGGGTCTGTAGGAAAGAAAAGAGAAAACTCCTTTTGACTTTGAATACTGGTACACGGAGCAGCGAGACCGGCCGCTCCACCCAACCACAGCTGGAGGGCCACAGCTGGAGGGCCACAGCTGGAGGGCCGAATATGGGGCGGCTGGCCCCGCCTCCACAGGAGCCCGCTGACAATGGGAGTGCTGACGTTTGTAGTAATAAAAAAAAGAACATTACGCTTTGAACCGAATACACCGATGGAAAGAAGACTCAGGGAGCCACTTGAGAAAGGAAGGCCTGCTAGGACGAACCCCACTTTCCTTTGAGCGGCTAAATGGAAATTCCACCCTTTGCTCTGCTTAAAAAAAAAACAAACAAACAAAACAAAAACGAAACAAACAACGCGTCCGTCAGTGGAGTGTGGACAAAAAAAAGAGCCGAATGTTGGATTTCCTGAGCTAGCCACCGATGGGCAACAGCTAGTCAGTGTGTGCGTGCGTGAATATGTGTGTGTGTGTGTGTCTGTGTGTGCCGAGTATCGGGAAGTACCAGAATATTTACATTGAGACATTTCAAGAGTGGCAGAAAAACTGTAAAACAACACTACTTGCTTCGTGTGTGGTGGATGATGGAGCAACGCGCCCGCCGCAGACTGTACATTATTTTATTAAATAAAATCCCCCCGGGTGCGCCCCCCCCCCCGGGGCCTCCCCCGCCACGCGTGCGGAGCACCCCGGGGGGGGGTTTGTTTGTTGTTGGTTTTTTTTTTTTTAGTGCATTTCAGAATGCCACACATATAAAGACCAAAGCATATAAGAGGTCAGACTGCACACGAGTATTTCAAATAAAATAATAAAAAAAAAACAAACAAACAACAAAAACAATAACGAAAATAAGATTCAACATTATGTTTTAACAAAACAGAGCGACTGTCCGCCTGCAATGTCCCCCCCCCCCCCGTCTGTTTTCTGAAGGTAAGGCTTCCTATATCCGTTAAAAGATTGTGTGCATGGTGAGTCTGTCCGTCCGGTCCCAGGGGACCGGGCTGACCTGCCCCGTCTTTTTTTGCCTTTCCCCCCCCCCCCCCCTTTCCTTCCCACCTCCCGAGCTGACGTGCACGTGCGCGTGCGAGCCCAAACCCGACGGCTACTCCCACACACAGCCAGCTGGAGGGGGATGGGGGACATTCCCGAGTATAGGGAAAAAAAAACGGGGACAAAATGACAACACAGAGAACAGGAAGCCCCGACAGGCCCGCCGTCTCCCCTGGCGACCGCTGAGGCGGCGCCCGGCGGAGTCGCAGCCGTTTAGTGACCCGTGGAGCTGGCCCCCGCCTCCTCTGGCCCCCCCCCCCCCGGCCTCTTCCTCCTCCGCTGCCCGGCCGCTCATCTGCTCATGTACGGGGACTGCTTGGGCACTCCGGCGTAGCTGTGGTGAGAGGGGCCGGTGTACATCATGTTGCCGTGGTGATTGGGCTGCATGGGCTGCTGGGGGTAGCCCTGCCCCCCCATCATGCCCATCTGCATCTGCATGGGGTACTGCGCCGGCTGGTTCATGTAGGCCGGGTTGCTGTGGTAGCCGCTGTTCATCATGGGCTGCGGCATGCGGTAGCCGGCCGACATGGCGTTGAGCGGCGTCATGTTCATGGAGTTGTAGGGCGCCGGCGTGGGCATGAGGTTGGGCATCATGCCGCGCTGCACGGCCAGGGTGCGCGGCGTGCCCTGCATGGCCACGGCGCCCGAGCTGCGGCCGTACAGCTGCTGCTGGTGCGCGGCGGGCGCCAGCTGCTGCGTGGCCTTGGAGCGGATGGAGATGTGGCCCTTGACCGTGGTCATCTGGCCCTGCAGCCGCTGCGTGTGCGGCGGGCCCAGGCTGATGTTGCCCGCCGGCATGTTGCACTGCAGCTGCAGCGAGCCCAGGTTGGGCGGCGAGGCCATGGGGGGCTGGCCCTGCGGGAGGGGCGTGTGCGGGGAGGGGGCCAGCCCCGGGTTGGAGAGCGACACGCTGGTGGCGTAGGAGGTGACGGAGGCCGAGTGCGAGTAGGGCATGGCGTGGGGGTCCATGATGGTGTTGGTCAGCTGCTGCAGCTTGGCCAGGCTGAAGGTGGCCGAGGGCTGGGGGTAGCCCCCCGAGCCAAAGTCCTGGCCCATGCGCTCGTAGAGGGCGCGGCCCCCGCCGCCGCCCCCGCTCTCGGGGATCTCCATGATCATGGGCGTGGAGGCGAAGCCGTTACCCATGCTGCACTGGGACAGCGCCTGCTGCTGCGGGGGCGGCGGCGCCGAGGGCGGCGGCTGGGCGTTGGCCGCCTGCTGCTGGGGGGGCTGGGGGACCTTCTTCTGGGGCTGCGCCTGCTGCTGCTGCTGCTGGTTGGTGCTGGGGGGCCTCTCGATCACGCCGCAGCTCTGCGGCGACTTGATGGCGCAGCCGGGCGTGTTGGAGGGCGGCGGGGGCGGGGGCGGCTGCGGCACGGCGCCGCCCACGTTTCCGGCCCCCGGCCCGCCGTTGGGCCCCGGCCCCGCCTGCTGGATGAGGCTGCAGCTGCCCATGGCCAGCTGGGAGCCCCCGCCCCCCGAGGAGGAGGACAGGCTGGGCGCCTGCACGTAGGAGCAGCTGCTGGACTGCGAGGACGAGGACGGCGTGGCCGACGCCGAGGAGGACGAGGCTCCCGCCGCCGCCGCCGGGGCCGCCGGGGCCCCCGCCACCACGCCGGCCCCGTTCCCGGCCCCGCTGCTGCCCCCGCCCATGGTGGAGTCGTAGCTGCTGGGGTTGTCGTAGTTCTCGGTGGTGCTCTCGATGCTGCCCAGGTCGCTGAAGCCGCTGTCCACCACCTGCTGCGAGTGGTCCGACACCGAGGGCACGTCCATCATGGGGGACGTCTCCATGTTCTGCTGGGAGGGGGCCGACAGGGAGCCGGGGTGCTCGGGCGTGATCTGGGTGTAGCCGGCGCCGCCCGCCGACCCGGGGGGGCCCGGCGTGCCTCCCCTCTGGCCGGCCGGGGCGGCGTCCACCATGCCCGAGGGCAGGCCCGGACTGTTGACCGAGCGCACCGACTGGCTGGGCAGGGGGGGCACGGGGGGCGTGGGCAGGGGGCTGCTGTGCTGCGAGGCGCCGCACTCCTCCACCAGGGCCAGCGCCTCCTCCTCGGCCTCGCCCCCGTGGCCGTAGCTCTGCAGCGTCCGGCAGGCGGCCAGCGTCTCCTCGCAGTCCTGGTAGGCGCCGTGGTGCGGCTGCGGCTCCGCCTCCTCGTCCTGCGCCTCGCCCTGGGTCAGCGACTGGACGGCCTGCACCGTCTCCAGGTCCAGCTCGTTGGGGTGGTGGTGGTGGGGGTGGTGCGGGTGGTGGTGGTGGTGGTGGCCCAGCTCCTCCTTGAAGTCGGCGTGCGGGTGGGCGTGCGGCGGCTCCATCAGCAGCGTGACGTCTTTGTCCTCGGGGTGCAGCGGCGGCAGCTGCATGGGCTCCGAGGACACCGCCATGGCCGTCACCGTCTCCACCGCCGCCGCCGCCGCCGCCGACTCCTCCTGCTCGCGGCGCCGCCGCTCCTCCTGCTGCGGGTCGGCCGAGGAGGGCCGGCCCTTGGCGTCCGGGCCCTCCTCCTCAGCCTCCTCCTCCTCTTCGTCCTCCTCCTGCTTGCTGACGTAGTCCCGGGTCACGCTGTTCTCCATGTCTAAAAAAGGCTCGGCGCCTTGGGGTTCCTCTTTGACGGGCGGGGAGTTGGCCTGCGAGGCGGGCTCCTCCTCCTCCTCTTCGTCCTCCTCCTCCTCGTCCGACTCCTGGCCCTTCCTCTTCTTGCCGCCGTTGCTTTTGTCCTCCAGGTGGCCGTCGCCCTCGTCGTCGGCGTCGTGCTCCTCGCTGCGCCGGCTTCCCGAGGCCGCCGCCGCCGCCGCCGCCCGCCTGCCCGGGCCGCCGCCGCATTCCTCTTCTTCCCTCTCGTCGTCGTCGTCGTCTACCTCCCGGTCGCCCACGTCCACGTCCTGGGGCCGGGGCGGCGGGGCCCGGGCCCCCGAGTGTGACGAAGAAGAGGAGGGCGACAGAAGGGGGCGGGAGGGCGGGCGGCTGGGCTTGTCCTCCTCCCAGGCTCGCTCCGCGTCCTCCTCCTCCTCCTCGTCTTCCTCCTCCTCCTCGGGCTCGGAGGTCGGGGGGGGCTTGGGGGCGGGCTGCGGCGGCTGGAGGAGCGCGCGGTTCTTGGGCGGCCTCCCCCGCCTTTTGGGCACCTTCTGCTCCACGGGCTTGGTGAAGTAGTCGTCCTCTTCGTCCGAGTCCTTGGGCTTGGGGTCTCGGCTCGCCGCCTTGGCGTTGTGCTCGCCCGCGGGCAGCAGCTGGGGCTCTTTGTCCGGCTGCAGCAGCCGCTGGCGCTCCGCCTCCTCCTGGGCGCGCTGCAGGTACCAGCTCCGGGGCTTGCGGCCCGGCTTCATTTTGATTTTGGGGGGCTGCGGGTCCCGGCTCTGGCCGTCGGCGCCCGCCTGCTGGTTGGGACCCCCGCCGGGTGGCTTCCCCGGCCCTCGTTTCTTCCAGTGCAGCGGTTTGCGGCTCTTGCCCTTTGGCCAGCCCTTCTTCTTCTTGACCGGGGCGTCGGGGGTGGCCGCCGGCATCTCCGAGGCTGTGGCCGAAAGAGCGGCCGCAGGCTTCAGCACGGGAGTGAGCTCTGAGAAGAGGGAGAGACAGAGCTGGGTTAGAGCAGCTAAACGAGTCAGAGGGAACGGGGGCTGCTGCCTGCCTGACCGCCTGCTTACCGTCTTCCTCTGAGTCACTCAAAGTGGCGAGCCGGCCCCTCTTGGCGGCGGGGTCGGACAGCCTCAGGGCGGGTCTGGCTGGGGGGTAGCGCCGCAGCGGGTGGCCCAGCGACATCTCCTCCTCCAGCCTGGGCATCGGCCTCTCTGAGTCCGAGTCCACGAAGGGCTCGTCCAGCACCTCGGTGGTCTCGGAAATGGTCTCGGTCACCACGCTGCTTTGGGGATGGCTGCGCTGGCGAAAACGGGGCCTCTTCAGAGGCTTCTGGGTACAAACAGCGGCTGGATTAGGTGGGCCTTGGAACAGCAGGCTTCAGGAAAAACGCCTCGGCGGCAAAAGCAGCATCTCACCTTGCATTTGAGCCCCATGGCTGGCTTGGTGAGGATGGGGGGGGAGCACCCTCTGCCCTCCTCCTCGTCCTCGTCGTCGTCCTCCTCCTCGTCGCCGCTGCTCTCGAAGAGGCAGCTTTTCCTGAGGGGCAGCCCCTCGCTCAGCCTGGACATCACGGGAAGCTGCGGCAGGCCCTCCCCGGGCCCCTCGGACAGCCGGGGCTTGGGGCCCCTCTTTTTCCTGGGGGGCCTCCCTCTGCGGTTGGGGGCTATGGGCGGGTGGCGGGCCATGTCCAGCGCGTGGAAGGCCGCGGCGTCCGCCTGCCTGTCTAAGGAGAAGAGCGAGGGCGGGCCCGTGGAGGACCCCGCCAGCTTCCCCCCTCGGGTCTCCTCCTCCTCCTCGTCCTCGTCGTCCACGGGCCGGATCTTGGGTGGCCGCCCCACCCGGGCGCTGTTCTTCACCTTGCCCCAGGGCCAGTTCTTGGGCGGGCGGCCCCGGGGCCTTCGCTCTCCGTTGGTTGGCAGAGGGGGGCGGGGCGCATCAGGGACAGGCTGCGGACAGCGGACGGGGACGGCGGACGGGGAGCTCTGGCTGATGGGAAACCCCAGAAAACCCTTCCGCTCCTCCTCGTCCTCATCGTCCTCCTCTTCCTCCCTCGTCTCCGCTCGCCTCATTTGCCACGACACGGGCGGAGCCTTGTGACCCGCTTTAATCTATTCCCAGATCACAAAAGTAGCCGTAAGTCACCGAGCGCCGGTCAGCTCGGACGCCGCTCCGCCTCGCTGCACACGCTCACCTCTTTGCGATTGTCTTCCGCCGGTTCTTCGTCCTCCTCGTCGTCGTCTCCGTCGGCGTCGGAGACCACAGTGTTGGTCACGATGACCGGCGTCCAGCGGAGGCATTCGGGGTCGACGTCCAGCTGCCGCGGCCGGGCCCTCAGTCGGGACATGTGATTGGACACCAGCTTATCCCGTCGCACCAACACGAGCCTGAGGGGGCGGGGCAGAAACAGGCACGAGGCTCACACACGTTCGGCCTCGAGTTTCCCATCCTGAGAGGGCCCCGTTTGTCCGGCTCTGCTCCACCACTGACCTGTCCCCCCGCTGCTCCAGCATGCCCAGGCTGTGCAGGGTGGAGGTGATGTCCTGCGGGCAGATGCCCGTCAGTTTGCTGAGTTGTCGGATGCTGATCTGCCGGTCGCAGACCTCGTGGAGACACTCCAGAACCACGCTCCGCCAGTAGGCCATGTAGGACAGCCGGCCCAGGTCTGAGAGCGGCTTCTCCGGAGATCCCGGCTGTCCCTCTCGCTTTGACAGTAAGTAGCCTTAAGAGAGAAAGCAGAACAAAACAAAAAATGTAATTCATCGCTTTGTTTATGGAAAGGGACACACCGGGGTGTGGGAGCGGCGTTCTTACTGAAGTCGATGAGAAAGCGGCCGTAGCCTTTGCGCTGGTACTGTGGAAGAATCATGATGCACGACACGTTGTACTTCTGCTGACAGTGTTTCTCCTGGAAAAGGAGCAATGAAATACCCACAGGGTTGTCAGAATTCATCTGGGAGGTTTAATCTGGGTGCAGGTTCCAGCTAAAGGAGGGGGGATGGAGAACCCTGACTGGGCGTCCGGACGGCGTCCGCAGTACCTTGGAGAAGTAGCCGACGAGGTGGCAGCCTTTGCTGTCGTTCTGGGTCAGGACGTAGAAAAGGAAGGGCTCCACGTCATAGTAGAGGGTCTTGTGGTCCAGGAAGAGCTTGGCCAACAGACACAGGTTCTGACAGTAGATTGTGCTCACATTTCCGTCCACCTGGTACAGAATTGACAAACCAAAGAGTTCAACATAATAACTCGGGTCTCTACGGAGGAAAAACAAGCACCCTGTGTGCAAATGGGGAGGAGGTTAGAGGAGGTGGGCTGGGGCTGGCGGAGTCGTGTTGGGGGCCCCATCTGAGGGTCAATCTGAAGGCCTATCCTCACCTCAAACACGGAGACGTCGTCCTTCCTGTAGATCTCGTTGGCAGGGGGGTGGAACCAGCTACACTTCTTCATGTGCTGGTAGAGGATGCTCCGACTCTTCATGTAGCGCAAGCAGAACTCACACAAGTAAAGCTTGGGTAGTCTGGGAGGAGAGGAAAGAGGCTGAATGAAAGCTGGGAAAGTGAGGCCCGGGCGGGTTTTATCTGCAGACGAGGTGTTACTGTAAACAGCTTTATACGTGAGCTTCATTAAGCTGGGGGGGGGGACTCATTCCCACACCTCCAAACAGGACTTACCTGCTGTACTCCTGCGGGTAGGGAGATGAATACCACGTCTGGATTTCAAACTTGCCAAATTCGATAACCGATGGACAGCGCATCTGAGGGTCTGGAGGGCCCGTCACCCCGACTTTCTATTGGGGAGAAAACCAAGTGGGGAAGGGGGGGGGGTCAGATCCTGGTTAACTCTGGCGGGCATTAACAGATAACAGTTTGTAAACCAGCATTCTTCTGGATCTTTGAGTAGTCTGCTTCTTTCCATCCCAGCTTCTCAGCCTCTCTGGGGGTAATTCACTGAGGATCTACAGCCTTTTAATACGACTCCTGTGATGCTGGCAGACCGCCCACCGTCTCCTCAGCTGACTGAACATAAAAGGGCTGAATTTATGTCTCCTCTCTTTAAAGACCGCCTCACCTGTCAGGACACTGACGCTAAAGTTTAAAGCCCTAACTTAGCCTTGGCAGAAGCCATCCACTCCTGGGTGTATTTACTCTAACCGGCCCTGCGGCAGTTCCTATCATATCAGCGTGGCAGGACTTCCTCACTGCAAAGCTTTTGTCCTACGATAACCTCTCCTTATTTGCATAAAACGGTCACCTGAGTCTGAACCTTTGACCCTAAGTGTGTCCTGCATTTGTCATCCAGCTGCGGCCCATTTGCACTGCATCAGTGGTAATGGGGGATCTTAATGGCCACGTGGAACTGGGCAGCTGCTGCGTGCCAAATTAATTTATTTTCATTGCTGAAACTCGTAGCTCATTGACTTTTTGCATGCTTCCTGTAAAAGATCCAAGCAGCTGTTGACTCTGCTCCCTGCTGGCCTCTGGGCCGGCGTACCTGTAGAGCCAGCTCCTGGATGTGTCGGAACAGTTCTATGTCTTTTTCCGTCAGGTTCTCGTGGCCGGGCAGTTTTTCGTCCTCGTCACGCCAGTCGCTGCCGTCCTGATTTTCTGGGAGAGGAAACAGAGGTGACGTGACTGGAAACCAAGATGCGGCATTTTGCTTTTGTTTTTTTTAAACTTATTGGGTTTAATAAAGCCACATTCAGCACAGACGGACGTTTTAAGGATAAACCGACATGTTTTTCTCATCCCTACCTCCCCTGTCGTCTCCGTCTTTGCGACTGCTCTTCTTCCGGATGCGGCACTGCTGCGAGTAGTCCACCACCTCCTGCCGGGCCTTGCGGCCCTCCGGCGACGGCGTGAAGAACTTGGTGAGGGCGTCGATGAGGCCCTTGGTCTTGTTGTTGAAGCGCAGGCTGCTGTGCGACTGCTCGTCGTCTCCCCGCATGGAAAAGAGCAGCCGGTCGTCGCCGGGGTAACCCTCGCAGGAGGAGCTGGAGGAGGAGTGGGCTGAGGTGGAGCGCTTCCGCCGGCCTCGCCCCCCCAGTTTCTTAAAGGGCCGACCCGGCCTGTGGAGGAAGACAGGAGTCCAGTAAGCTCACGGCGGCTTCACAAAAATACACTCAGAATCTGGATGGAAAAAAAAAAAACTGGGTTGTGTGGGCAGGTGCTGGGTGCTCGGTACCTGTTTTTCGGCCGCCCCAGTGGGGCACTGTAACGCCGCTTGATTTGTTCTGCCTTTTCATGTAAGAGCGTCTTTCCCTTTTTCCTGGGCTGGCAGATCTGACAAATCCACATGCCTGGGAGGGAGACAGAACGCGTTCTTATTACACATCGCTACTTAATGGCGACGCTTTTCGGCCGCTCGAGAGAAAAGTTCCACCTTTCCGTGCCACTAGGACGGGACATTGAACCAGCATTCTTGTTGGTTTACCTTTAGGCATCCGCGTGAGGGGAGGATCACAGCACTCCATGTGGAAGCCCCGGTCACAGGAGTCACAGAACAACATGTTGTCCTGCACACACAAACCACCAGTATGGGTGAGCGGCCTGATAAGGGGTGCAATAATCTGAAGATGTGATGCACTTTGGTGGCACATTTTCACACTGAGCATCGCAGACGTCATCATCAACATTTCAGCAGGAAGTAGATCCCTTTGTCCTGCTGTTAAACACTCTTCTTGATGGAAAGAGTGAAAACACGCAGGACTAGAATAGCTCCATCCCAGGACAGCAGATACATCTATCAGCATCACTCTTTGGCTCTTAAGTGGGGAAGAGAGCGCTGGGAGACGGCGTCTGCCTGCCAGTTCGCCGCGTCTGCTCGTCTACTCACCGCGTTCTTGCCTTGATCCTGACAGCTGCTGCAAGTCTTGCATTCGATGCACTGCCACCACAGAGCCTTGACTCGCACCGTGAGCTCTGGGGAGAACTTGAGACAGGACGGGTGGCCTGCAGGTAGACACACACACACAGAAATGAGGACGCCGGCAAGCAACACCGCTCTTTACGGTTGCTGCTGACTGACAGCCCTGACCCACTTGCGTCACTGTAAAAATATGGGGGGGGGGGAGGACCCCTTTTGGATTTGAAAGCCCTTCTGAATCAAACCTGGCTGCAAAGAGTGTTCAAACAAAATATGACAATCTGTCAGAGTTGTGCTTTCCCCTTTCTTGGAGGAGAAACAAACAAGACAACCCTGTCTGGTACAGAAACCCTCTGAGGGGGGGGGCGCTCCGGCTCCTCTCTGCTGTCAACTGTGGTGTCAGGTCATAGCAGGAACGCTAGCTTGTGGAGCTTAAAAAAAACTGATTTTTAGAGAACAATGGTGCTTCAGATTTTTCTCAAAATATAAACCTATGCTGTTAGAGAGTTTTAGGCAGACAAAGAAAAAAAAACCTCTCAATAGTATCTATCAAAGCATTTTCCCATTAAAACCACAAAAATCCTGCACAGATTTCAGCACTTGTTCACTGAAAAGCAGTGGAGCTAAACAGGAGATGAAACGAACTCTGAAAGTCTAAAAGCAGGTGAAATGTGCATCTTCCTTTAGATCAAACCCACGCTTTACAACAGGAGGCGTTTACAGAGCGATTCTGCGCTTAAACCACACAGCCAGGCGGGGATGTTAAGTTTAAAAAGGTGTCAAAAGTCTCCGATCGCGCAGAAACACTCACCGCTGTTGCCGCAGTCGGCGCAGGAAATGAGCTCCTCCGGCTTCTTATCGCGGTTCTGCTCCTTGGTCCCCAAACAGAAGCTGCAGATGGGGATGGGCTCGGCCACGGGCTGGTGGGACACAGAGGAGGGGAAGGTTGAGACCGTCGGCCAACTTAACAGCTTCACTGAGAGGAAGTGGACAAAGAGGCCCAGTGTGCCCCGCCACAGAGAGGAACTGTTGCTGTGTATATCAACGGGCCGACTCCACAGAGCATCTCTATGTGAGAACACACAGTTTGGGCTAGTGGGGAGCATTAGAGCTGCTCCGCTGATGCAGCTTGTATAATTTATGTGCTGTCATGTTAGACTCCGGTGCCGTTTGATCATCAGCTGGAACCCCGCTCCTCTGGCTGACTGGTTGAGGAGGTGAGCTCCACTCCAACGCGTCCCGTTTTGACACTTGTTCCTGAACGGTGCCACCGGGCTTTCAGTCGTGGGGCTGAATGAATCATTTAGTCCTCGGCGAATACGTGAGCCCCGTCAGCAGGTGCGGATCCAAACAGAGTCAGACGTGCGACCGGCGGAACCCCGGCACCTCGCAGGCTGACAGACTTTGAAAAGGACCAGCCTGCCCACCGAGGCGGGGAGGAAATAATACATAAATAAAAGCACATCTCCCAAGCACTGCAGGAGCACCTCACTACAACAAAAAAAAAAGAAAACAGACGTGGCTTCAAAGATTCTGGAGCCTGGAAGGCTTGAGGGGAGGTGACGGCTTACTTCTACCTCAGAACACACCACAATCTGTCTACAGAGATTGTCTAATAAGTTTGCTGTATGTGAGCTTCTCTTTTCAATTCTGCTCTACCGCTGTATGATAACACGACATGCTTAAACTCACAAGGGTAAAACCCTTATAGGAATTACAGCTGGTGGGTTTTTTTAGCATCCTGTGCCAAAGGCAGATTGTTGGTGTCACATTAGTACCTCAAAAGGTCACACAAAGACCCAGAAATGTGCCAAAATACTCTAAACGGAGAGTGCCAGTCATTAAGTGAGCTGTGCAGCGGCTTTTCCCCAGCTTGCATGAAAATCAAATCAAAGAGGCCGAGCATCCGTGTGAGAGGAGCTGGTGACAGGCTCCTGGATGAGCGTGGCGGCTCAGACGGGGAGTGCGCGGCATCTGTCGCCCCTCTGCTTCCCCAGACTCAGCTTCGCGACAGAGCGGCAAAGAGAAAAAACAACCTGCGCGACAACCCCGAGCCGGTGTTTGCCTGGGGCCGTGCGGGAACGCGTGAGGCAGAGCAAAGAAAGCCTCGACTGCTATCCGACAGCCTACATCCGAGGGGACGCGTCCCGCGGGTGGAGGACTGAGAGCCAAAGACAAACCCAGAACTTCTGAACAACATTATCCCAGAGAGGAATGGACAGAGTCCCAAAACCTCTAAGATTGACATATTTTGTTAGTGTGATTCAACAAGGCCTTATCTGAACACCTTTAACTAAATCTGGAGCACTTCATATGCAAATTGTGGAAGCTACAGAAACAAAATAGCTAACAAACTATTAGCATACACTTCAGACCTCTACATAAATTAAAATGCGATCTGAATTTAAGTCGATAGAACAGCCTGAAGGTGAGCAAACACAAACATCTACTATAGACAAATACTCAGCACAATGAGATAACCAGGCTAAAGCGTGCTCTCCACTCTCATCCCGTTTTCTCATCCTGTATCAGAAGCTGCTCGCCATTTGTTCCCCCAGCTCTAATAAACCAGCTGACTTTCATTTTGCATAATATGAGGAATTCTAAAGTGCCAACACCAGATAACAGGAACCGCCTGTCGTAGAATCCTTTCATTGACATAAAGTCTCACTTTTTCTAATGTGCGACGGCACATGTTCAGGCGGCTTCAAACGGAGCCTGAAATCAAAGTGGCCAGCAGTTGCGTTCTTTGTTATGATCCAATATGGTGGCTTTGTGTTCAGTTTGTTTCATTTACTGAAGCCGCTTTTCCCAACTTTGCAAACTCTGAAAAAACTAAATCCAGCCTCCCGGAGTGTAAAACAAAAAAGCCGTTAATTGATTTAGTTCGTTTGAATAGAGAAAAGGCTTCATCACTTTGAAAACAAAACTGCAAACTTCAACATATTTTATGGGTCATAAGGGCCATACACTGCAGGCTCAGAGGCCTGTGATCATCCTGGTGTTTTACTGTGCATGTGCTCCGACATGTGGCAAACAATGAAGAAAAGAAATGCTCCAAACACACATGAATAGCGCCATTCACCACCGAATGCACAGGTAAACAGCTTAATGTTACGCTTAATGCCTCTAAAACCACATATTTCGCGTCTGTCAGGGGGTTTCACTCCGCCAAAGTCATGACACGCCTTATAATGAAAACTCTTGGCAAAAAAAACAACCCAGAATGATTCTATTTGCTGGATTAAGAGATTTTCTGCAGCACAGTGGAAATGCATGTGGCTGCAGAGAGCCAAAGAGGCCGATTGTCACTGAAAAGAGAAGACGCGGACAAAATATGATTTATTGGGTTCATTTCCCTCCGATTCCCTGCTGGCCTTTACCCACAGCAGCTGGATAAAAGGAGGAAAGAGGGATGCGACAAGAGCCAAGGGAAGTAAGAGGTAGACTGAGAGGAACACGCAGGCTTTCGGCTGAGATGAGGCGAGCGTCGTCATCCTCAACTCTGATTTGTGGAAAGAAAGGGGTGAAGAAAATCCCAATGATATACGTCTGATCCAGATGGGGTGCTGATGAGGGTTGGGTGGCAATACGGTAATAAGGTATACCGCTGGTACCTTTCAAACGCAACAGTATCGGTTTAAATCCTGTCATTCCCATCATTTAAAACCATGCAATGCGCTTATACAGGAGATAAGGATTAAATCTAAGATATAATTAAATCAATGCATACAAATGATTCTTTATCCAGCATATCTTATATGTGGCTGAATTTTCAGTTTTACTTTCACAGTAGTGAGACTTTTGATAAACTTTAGGAACGTGACGTCATCAGGTGACACCGTGGAGGAGAGAGCGCCAGAGAAAGATGGCGGGTGGCGCAGCGAGTGACCTCGTCGCTAAGAAGAACTCGACTTCTGCACTGATATTGTTTTTGTTTCTTTATCAGCGTTTGGTATTCGGTTTCTGAACGGGGCACAAGACAGCAGTTTGGAGACGCTGTCTGAGCCTTCAGTCGTCATTTTTAATTAGTCACGGTAACACGCTACACCGGGGTCAAATGATCTGGATACGGCCCGACCCCAGTGCTGAGAGACTGAAGAACAAATCCCTCCTTCTCCCTATGATCTGTTGGGCATTATGGAAGCTGCACATCTCGGCGGTGTGCAAAGTGAACCAACAAAGTCAACGCCGAGAGGTGGCAGCCAGCTACAAGGGGGAAAAAAAAAAAGGAGGAGGAGAGGCGTGTGAAGGAAAAAAAAAAAAAGATAGGGAGGACTAAAATAACAATCCAGAGGGCGAGAGCGGGAAGGAGACGGAAAGAGTAAAGAGGGAGAGAAATCTGCAGCCGCAGTCCTCCGAGCAGCCCGCCTGCCTGCGAACAACACCTCAATCATTCCTGACGCTTAACCCCCTCCTGGCCGGAGGAGGTCAACTGCCGGCGCTCCAACCGACACGAGCTGGAGGCCAGCGGGGGCCAGCGGGGCTACGGCCGGGCTTCAGTTACCGGCCACCACTGCAAATGAATCCCTAGCAGATAATGGCGGGAAAAAAAAAAAAACGACAAAAAGCTAATCCTCCCCTCTATGACGGCGATCCTGGAAGTGCACAACACCGTCTTCACATTCCTCCCGAGAGCCCCCCCCCCCCTTCCGCCCCGTTCGGCCTTTTCCACCTCGGCCTGCACGGCGTTACACCTCTGTTGTGTTTGAGCCAGGTCTCGTGGCCCACATCTCACCCCAGCCGTTTGCTAACAGCTAATCTGTTGTTTTAACCTAAAGATTTTTTTTAGGGGAATAGTTGCCGTCAAAGCCGGAGGGGGGGGGGGGGGGGACACGCCTCGCGACAGGGAAATCTTAACAGCGCCACCTGAGCAGCATGCAAACCTGTCTTACGAGTAACAGTTCTCTCTATTAAAACACACCCAAACACCACGCCGACACACCCCCCCGTGCTTCAGGGATCACTAAAGGGCCGCCACAGATTCACAGACAGAGCCTCAAATCCCGCCTTTCTTTTTCTTTTCAAAAAGATTCCTCGAGGAACCATGATGCACAACAAGTGAGCGGGCCTCTTTTTACACTCTATGCCGACTTCTCTTATCCAAAAACAGATTACAGAGGAATGAGAGAACAATGGAAGAGACAACGGGTGGGGGGAAAAAAGCCTTGCCACCGTCCTTGTCTCCTCTCAAGTCAAGGATCTCATTAAGAAGCTCAGCCAACACTTCCCTTATGGCCACAAACACCTCTAACGCCAGCTCGTTGATCAACTGTGAGGAGGGACGTGGGCTCTAAACTCCCCTCACAGCGGACCGTCTCTTTACCTGAGGGCCCCCCCTGGTCACTGGGGCTGCTGAGGTTATGCAGTAAAAGAGCCAGCGTGTGGATTTCACTTTACATTTGCAAAAAAAAAAAAGTAAAAAGACACAAAGCATCTTCACACGGTCCAGTTGAGAAAATGACCAATCGGGAACGTCCTTATCAAAAGTTTCAGCACTAAAGAGCTTCAAATTTTTACACAAGATCTAAATAAAGGCTCCTTAAATTTCACAGATGGTTAAACCTTGAAATAAGCAAATGTCAAACAGTAATTGCTCCATAATGAACCTAATTGCAGCTCTCTGTGTCCTAGTGATGTGCCTCACCCAAACTGGGGCGTTTCACACCACCAACTCAATAATCATGTTTAGATTCACCTGTTTAATTCAAGCAACAACAACAACAAAGAAAAAAGGTGTGCTATATCTGAAGGTTTGTTCTGATGTGTTGGTTAACCGTGTTAGCCCTCATGAACCCCTGCTGGTGGCTTCCAACAACAAGTTTGGATCAGAACATCTTTCCAACAAAAGCCCTCTAGAGAACAGACATTCGGCTTCCTTACAAACGTATGAACCTGGCCCCTCCACTCGGAGTCTGGTGAGCAGACTCTTTCGCACAACGGGTTTCTGGGAGGAACAAAGAACGAGCTTCCAGCGGCTGCTGTCAAAGAGCCGGAGGAGCCTTTAGCTGGAATCGCTGATCGGAGTCGAGCGAGGCCACAGAGAGCCACCGCGCAGGCAGAAACAGACGGCCTCAGTCCCTGAGAATGGATGAGTGTGAAGTCTGAAATCAAAGAGGCGCTGACAGGAGACCGGGGGAAACCATTTCATAGCATCCAACTTAGTCATTTCCCGCTCTTCCTGTGATGCGGCCCAAAGCCTGGGAACGCTTCCATCCATCCGGCCAACACACGCACTCTTGTCATGAGCCCACATAAGAAGATGAGGCAACAACGGGGAACCAAGGAACCACGGAAAGAAGGAATAACAAGTTAAACACAGCAGGAGAGAAGCACAAGTAAGGAATCCAAAACTAAACCTGCTCTCTTTAACTTCAGATAAAAAAAGAGCAGAAACAATGAAGAGGTCAATGGGGGGGGGGGAATCGGGGGAGGGAATCAGCACAACTACAAAGGGGGGGGGTGTTTTTTTCCTCCACACGTCCTCACCGTGACACTACACCGAGAACTCTGGTTCACCCCGCTCCAGCTGCTGGGGAGAGGGCAACCGCCGGGCACCAAGATCGCTCTTACCTCCTATGATTGGACGATCATATACACACACACACACACACACACACACGCACGATTGCGCGAAGGCACAAACAAACACAAAAAAACTCCACGTTAAGCCCGTCCCGCCTAATGGGCGTAGCTCCATACTGCTAACGGGCGCGCGGGGAGGCGATGAGCTCCACCATCTATACATCCATGACCCCCGGTTGACTTCTCTCCCCCATTCACCTCCCCCCTGGTGACCTGGCCATGGCACCCTATTAGGGGGAGAGGAGGGAGACAGACAGCTAGGAATAGGGACGGCTTTCTGAATCGAGCGCCGTGATGCAGCCATCAGCGCGGTGAGTACACACGTCTTCCTGCAAATGGGGTCAACGCGAGTGCTTGGCCATTTGTTTTGAACCCCCCCCAACCCCGCCCCTTCTTGGGAAATCAGAACGGTAAGCGATCATGCGGGGTAACGCAGCCATGATGCGCCGGTAGAAAGCTACACAGCCAGCCTCTGTTGTGATTATGTAACACCCATCTTGGTGCTCTGTAGCACACAGCCTCATCTCACGGTGTGTGCCACTACCAGGGATGCAGAGCAACGCATCAAGGGCATCGCACACATGGCTGCGCAACTACGGCGCCACTCTCTCCAGCAGAGATACAAGGCAGACGACTGGAAAAATAAAATATAATAAAATAAAAATAATAATCATTAAAAAAAACAAAACAGGGTCATGTGAGTGAGAGCACAAATGCTGACTTCCTCTCTGCTGCAGCCTCTTTGCAGCCCATCGGACCGGCGGTTTCAGCCTGGCTTTGCACAGAAAAGACCCAGAGTTTGTGAATTCACACGTGACCTGTGATGATTTCCTGACCAACATGAACGCAGGAAGCGACCTAAGGAGGAAACCGGCGACTGAGTCAAAGAGGGAGAGGTTGATCTGTGCTCGTCTTAAGAGCCGGACCATCTGCAGCCAAGCGGGTCAGCGTGTGAGGCGGCCTCCCAGTGATTCGCAGCTTACTTTCCAGGGTAATCCCACTCTGAGAGAGTATGTGTGACTATAAGCACCGTTACCGGGAAGCCCTTTGTACAGCCCCTCCCACAGGAACCAGCCAAAGCTGAAAACTAGTCAAAACAGTGATTAGAAGCAGCCCGGTGTCGTGCACTCGCGCCGGCAGGCGGGCGCTTGTGCCCGCAGAATGTTTCTGGGAAGGGGAAAACAGGCTGTAATTGTCTGCAGGTATCCGAAGGCATTTCAGCAAATGTTTCACCCAATTCCAGCTTCCTCTGCAGGCAGCGACGCGGGCTCAAGTGTGTGTGGATGTCTCTGAACCTCACAACCAGGGGTTAGCAGACGGCTGCTCCCTCTGATCGGGTTACAGAGGTGGGTGTGTTCCTACTCTCCTCTGTCGCCTGCATGTCTGCCTCTCCCTCTCGTTCTGTTTCCCTCTCTTTCCTCTCCTCCTCTGTCTCTCTGCGTCCTTCTGGTTGCGGAGGCCTGAGGTTTGCGTCATGCAGGCCTCTCCCTCTGGCACGGCGACAGACCAACTCTCTCCTGCTAACCTATGCTCCTTCCCCTCGCTTCCTTTCTTTCTTCTAACCGTCCCCTGGCTGGGAGTAGCCCTGCAGCTGGTCCTCGCTCCCCGCAGGAGGCTGGGAGCCATATGACGGTCGCCCCTGACCTGCTGCTGAAAACGGCCCCCGGCAGCCACCCGCCCAGCATCACAGCGCTTTAATGTGTGTCTGGAGCGCAGCAGTGTGTTTCTGTCTGTCACACCCGTTAAATCCAGCCCGCACAGCAGCGCAGAGCCCCCGCAGAGAGGACAGTTAGGCCTCACTGCACAGGTCTGACCTCCATAACACAAATCACTGATATTTGGAAACCCACAGATGCACACCATTTGAATGAAGACAGAGGCAAAACACTAAAATTCTCATTCTCCACTTCCACAGTCAGAGGCCTGTCTATCCTGGAGTAATTACAGTCTGAGAAGTGAGCGGGCGGGCAGGGGGGGGGCATGGCCAACTGGAACAAGAAGAGAAAAACGCACGGCTGACGTTTCAGGCTAACTGCACGGAGACTTTTCTTTACTTTCACAGACCACGCTCGCTTTCTCTGTGCTCCCAAAGGTTAACTAAGATGCGCGCCGGGCGTCTTGATTTCTTGTCAACCTCAGCCGCGGCTGGACTTTCAACCGGATATCCGGGCTTGTATCACAAGAATCTGACGCCGGGAGACATCAGAGCTTTACACCCTGTGAGCTCCTTCTATTGGCTGACTCACAGATGCCCGATCAGCAGCGCTACTGCTATGCTTTGATTTCAAGAATAAAAAGGGGAACAGAAACCTCTTTGTGCATCCAGGACATAGACAACAAACACGTGGTGCAAACAAAACAGAGCTTGAGCAGCTGCTCGGTCGGTACCTTGTCTTTCTCGTGGGGCAGCAGCCGGACAGGCGGAAGGGATTCCAGGGACACGGTGCCGGTGCCGTCGTCCTGGGAGCTGCTGCGGCTGATGAGCTGGAAGAGCGGGCCCTGCTTGGCCACGCGGCCGTGGGCGACGGCCCTCTTCAGGGCCACCCGGAGCTGCTGGTGGAAGAGGCCGGGGCCCATGGACCCGCTGCCCGACAGGTAGGCCGCCACGTCGGCCTGACACTTGAGGAAGCGCTCGATGTTCTTTAAGCCGGAGCCGCCGGGCTCGTGGAGCCCCTCCAGCGCCCGCTTGATCAGCTTGTTCCAGTCCAGTCCTGGTTTCTTCCCCGAATGGGAGTGAGATGTTCCACTGCTGCTGCTGCTGCTGGTGGTGGTGGCGGTGCCTCCACCGCCGCCACCTCCTCCTCCTCCACCTGATGATGCACCTCCTGCAGAGCTGCCACCACTTTTGGGCTTCGGCAGGGCCAAGCGCCCAGGGTTGTCGGGGTCTTTGTAGGAGTTGAGCCCCTTGTTGGTGACCTTAAGTATGGTGCCATCCTTGACGCTGAGCTCCAGCTGTTCCAGGACCGTTTTACGGTCCAAACCGTGGGACATGGACACCGCATTGCAGATGCGCTCCTCCGACGGTCGCTGCTTCTGCTTCTTCACTTTCTTGATGGCCTCTAGGATCCATTGGGTGTACACTGGGTTGGCCAGTTTCACCATAGCGGCGGTCTGGATGGGTGCAGCAGCCCCGAGGCCTCACTGCAAGGACCGCACAGGAGAAATGGGAGCTGTGAGCCAAGGGAAAACCTGGCCTGCGCCGTAGCGCCGCCGCCTCCTCCGCGTTGCCCTCTACCTGCTTACTATCCCTTGTCCTGGCGTTGCACTGAGAGTCCCTCAGAAGCTGAGTATGAGCAGCACGGAAAAGAGCAGCTGATCATAGCACAATCCCCCTGAGCAGACCCTCCACCCGGTAAAATTTAGTCCACCCACCACCCACTCCCAGCCAGGTTAATGTCCCTGGTGAGACGCGGTGGGAGTGGAGGAAACAGCGCGTCCGTTCACAGCTTTTACCCCTGACAGGACACAGCAGGGTTCAAAAGTTCTTAAAAAGGTTTTTAAAAGGAGGCGTTTCCCGCTAATACGGGCAGAAAAGAAAGCCAAGTTCCCGTCAGTGGTAAAGAAGTCTCCTCTCAGAGCAAGTTCCGGGAAATGTTCATCGTCTCCATGTAATCAGCCTTTCAATGCATCTGGTGTAGAAAACACAGCAAACGGGTCCTGAAGGATTATAACAATCCAGGCGACGAGGACTTTTCTCCACATCCACAGGTTCTTGTCTCCACTTGTTCTTCTTTCTGCAACCTGGTCCTCTGCGGGCGGCGTGGGACTCTCAGCTATGGGACGGAACGGATACCTCACGCCAGGGAGAAGCCGGGGCCGATCACCTTCATGCCCACTGCACCTCAGCAGCCGATGAACACTGCACAAAAAAGAATTAAAAAAAACAAGCACAGTGTTAGAAGAGCCTCACAGAAAAAAAGGATGGTGGGTTTCGTTTGAAAGAAATATAGTAGACTCCTGAAACAATTCATAACTGGAGTGTGGCAAAGAAAGCACAACAACAGCAGAAAATGCCCTGACGGATGCAAACTAACCCACAAAGACAAACCAAAAAACAAGCTGGACATTAGTAAAATAGAAAATGTTAAAAAAAGAGTCAGCTCTGTGTAGACACCTGTTATCACTAATTAACTTCATATTATAGAAAGAGAAAGAGTAGTTTTTTTCTATAAATCCCTGACAAAAAGTCTGCACATGCTTTCAACACACAGGACCGTATTCTCCCCTTAAAATAAATGATAATATCCTGGAAACAGTGCCACCAGGTTGACAAGTTCACCAGCTGAGCTGCAAACGTAAACATGATGTAGTGAACGTACAATCTGTTAGCAAACATTAGCTGAGAGGCTAGCTAAAAATACCCAAACTGAGTCGAATGTCGCTGCCTTGTACTATTTCGAGGCGCATATGCATCTATATTTGCATAATATTACACGGCTTAGTGTCTCACAACAATAACTTCCCGCGAACGGCTGCTGTTTAGGAGGCTAACCTTGCGAACTAGCCTGCCGAGCTAACGTTACGACTCTGTTACTAACGTTACTCGCTCAGCCCGAAACGTAAACAGCGTGTAACGGGAGGTTAGCAGCTCTCCGGCACAAAAAGACAACATTCCCCTCGCTCGGCCCGCGTTTCCGACAAAAACAAAACACCCCGCCGCATCAAATATGGCGAATAATCTCACTCTGAATGTCACAGTGATTTTAACGTGCCATCCGCGGCCTTGTGAAATGCACAATGCAACTTGCAGACGGCCATCTCGGCTAGCGGGCAAGTGCAAAATTCAAGATATCTCAGCGGTGGATTTCTGCAGCATTACACGTTCCGCGGCCTAGTTCTCGGTGTTCAAGCATGGGCGAGGGAGCCTCTAACCCGCTCAGATGAATCCCTGCAAGCGGTCCACACCTCACCGACTTCCTCCCTTCATCCACCACCCTCCCTCTGTCGCTTCACCCTGCGGTGCGGTGAAGACAAGGCCGCCAGAGCGGAGGAGCTAGGCCTCGGCTCCCCCCTCCGTGCCCCCCCCCCCCACCCACCTCCGCGATCACCATCCCTCCGTACCCCTCTCTCCCGCTGCCTCTCGCGGTTCCCCAGAAAGCTAGAGGCTGGTCCGGTTCTGGTTTCTGAGGTAAGCTCGAGGAAGGCGAACCGTGCGGGAAAAAAAAAAAAAAAGAATCCCCCGTTGATCCCATAAGACTTCCGCCGCTACTCACCGGAATTTCGGGTCGAGCCGACGCGAAGAAAGGTGCCGGAACCATGCGAGGCGAAGACAACAACAAGGCTAAAAATGCAGCCAGAGACCAGGGGCTCTAGAGCCGACGCCATTTTTGAGTGAAACAGGAGCACGGCTGGTGGGGGAGGGGGGAACACTGAACCGTCAGGCTGGGCCAAGGGACCGTCTGAGTGGTGCGAGGCGAAGATCCAGGGGAAGAAAAAAAAAAAATCCACTGCAAGGCGCGGGGGCGGCGGCGGCAGAGGGCTGTTGCTATGAGAGGGGTGCGAATATAAAGCCCGGGAACACGAGATGGAAGAAAAGCGACAGATGGTGGCGGTGTTGGCGGAGGGGAATTTTTTTTTTTTTTTAAATAAAGGATAGGTGTTCTCGCTTTCTGTGCTTTGCGACAGCTACATTGGGAGATTCAAGGGAGCGTCTGCATTTTGCCAAGAAGTTAGAGGAGGAAGAAAAGCAGGAGGAGGAGGAGGAGGAGGAGGAAGAGGTGAATCAAAGCCAATGAGCGTGCCTTAACGTTGGAGGGTATTTAAAGATCAAAGTGAGACATCCTCACTCTTACACACCCCCACAGCAGTTTTATTGTGCCCGTGCAAGCTGTGTGTTTCTCAAGGCTGAAAACTGATAAGTGATCCACTTAGACTCAGTCCCAGGAGATGATCGGGTGGTGCTGGTGGAGCTTTTTTTTTGGGTGTATTCACGTGCAGGACAAAACCACGCGCCTGGTGGCTCCAGCTTGGCTCAGATGCAGGATGCAGAGATACAGAGTTGCCTTTTTCCGAGAAAAAAGGAAAATGGTACGAACCAACCAACCTTGGCACATCTTATCAAAGAACAGCTGGGCCTGACACCCTTTTCCTCCAAACATCTCACTGGAGAAAGGAGACGCTGTGCAGCTCCTTGTCAAACATCAACCATTGCTTCTGAAGTGGCATAATTTAAAGAATGTGCTCTCACGGTAAAAAAAAGACAAACATAATTAGCTTTAAATGTATTAATCTGCTGCTGGGAATTATATTAAAATCCTCACTACAGCCTTTCATGTATTCATATGAAAACAACCAGTTGAGGAAAACTGATTATCCGGCTCCAATTTCATGATAATCCTGGTACGGCAGTACTTTTTTTCCAGTTCTTTAAAAAAAAAAAAATCTGGCAGCAATCTTCTGTATCTATTACAGCGTAATGCCGAAAGCTCCCAGAGTGGAAATTAAATTATCTGGAGGTTTGTGTAAAATGATTTGCGCGGCCGTCCTCAGAGACAGATTATAGTGTCTTATAGGGAGCAATTAGACATGATGTTTTCCCATGTTGGAGGTGTCTTGGTAGAGGGTGAACCGCTGTCAGCTTATTGGTGATCAAATAAAACCAGTAAGGTCACACTTTGCTCAGTGTTTGTCTTGCACTTCTTCAGGGACAGATAAATCACATTCCATTGACGGGGCACTAATTATAATTAACGGTACTGTTATTACAGGGATAAATGGTGTGAAGTGTGAACACATGAAGGGCTATTAGTACACTTCCTGAGGACTCATATTACATTAGTGTGTACAGTGGGCCGACTAACAGATGGACAATACTCAGGAGAAGCACTCACCATCTTTGGTTCCCAGCCATGAATAAATAATGCTGTGTACTGTGATACACAGCAGAGAGCATGTTCGCCATCACATAACGGCAGACGCCAGCTAACTAGCGTGAGGGACAGGGTGGTGGAGTATGCCCTCATTTCATTTTGATAAACTCACAGGGGTTTTCAGATGCAGCTACCAGAGCCAAACCAGTTTTATAATCTACTACAGCACCTGAAAGAGTGATGCCTGGGATGTGGAGGACCTTGAAGGCGGCAAGTTGTGTTTGGTGTAAATAACAAGATCATTTGGTTTTAAAAAGAGCTGAAATCAACACCTTTGTTTGCTAATAGAAAATCATTTCAATGAAAACTTCTGTGTAATTAAATAAATTAGTTTTCAAAGCCCTTTATATAGTTCTATTGTATCAAACAACAAGAGGACAACTGGAGTATTTTACAGTAAAAAATACTGAAAAAGGCCTTTTGGCATTAAGCCAATGTAACCAGGAAATATCCATGCAGGTACTCAAGACATGCAAACTCCCCAGAAAGAAGCAGTCTCCATGGCAGTCTCTCCAGAGGCAATGCATACAATTTAATATTAAAACACATCTGTTTAAAATCCGGCACCTATAACGGCGTGAGCGGCTCTCAGCCTCCATGGCGTCGTTATGGCTAATTACTCATGAATATGGGTATTTCATCCAACCACTGACTGTAACATGGTCAGACAACAAGTGAGGTTCTGAAAATGTACAAGCTTTGATTTGAAAAATATTAAATATTTTACACTTTAAATACATATAGCGGAAGACATGGTAGCATTCAGTTTAATTTACATGCTAGTGTTGAGTTTCCCCCCCAACTTTGTTTGTTGTTGCTAGGAATCCATCAAAAGATGAGGTTTGATAACATTGTATGGAAAAGTGATACATTTTCAAGGATGTGACATGAGCTAGAGTGGTTTTACAATGTGTTCATAATTCCAGTTAAATAAAGAAGAGTAATATTAGCACTATGATATTCAGTAACATAGCTAGCTAGCTTAGCGAGCATAGCAAGTGTTGCTAACATCAGGTGGTGGCCTCACAGGTGGGATAGCCCAAGAAAAATTAACTTTAAATAACTTTAAGCCAGTGTGTAGCGCCTCAAAATATCCAAAGTCAATAGAAGTTAATGGATAACTTCTTTGTTTAAATTAAAACGTGAGAACTATTGTCTTTCTATAAGTGTATTAAATGTAGAAACGTCTGAAATGATTTAGCCTCCACTGAGTAGAAGTTGTAGTGTGAGATTTTTGGTTCGTTTTCAGTCTTGGACACAAAGAACGAGTCGAGTAATCCCTAGCTTCTTTTCATCTCTTTAATCCCTCTTTTTTTCTTTTTTTTTTAAGGGGAATGTGTTCTGTGTGCATCCACCTGCTGAGAGCCTTGAGCCTCCAGCTAGCCTCACCAGCCTCCACCTGCCTCAGGGTTTCCCCCTCGCTGCACACGCATAAACCCCCACGTCCTGTCCACCTGATGCAGGCCAGCACCTTCTGTTTCTGCTCTCCTCCACTGGTTCAACAGCTGGACATTTGCCAAGCCAAATAAACATGCAACATCCTCTTGGTGAGAAGAAAACCTCCTAATTATTGGGCCTGGTTTACTGTTGTTTCTGGAGGGTTTTAATTATCAGCTGGGCCTGCTGTCTATAAATAATGCTTGCTGTTGTTTTTAGTCTCTGTTAAGAGACAGAAAACATCCTGTTAATGCGCATAAAACAGACTCTGACTGATTTTCTGCTCAGGTTAACTCACTGAGAATGCTTACTGCTCCCAGATCAACATGTTTTTTGACTCCCTGCTAAATGAATATTAACCCACACTTATTCCATTACAGCTCGGTGATGCTGGGAGTTACTTCAGAATAATAGGAAAGTGTTAAATGGGGCAGATTAATCAGATTTTATTCATTGATGTCTGGACCACATATTAACAAAAGGAGATACATTTCCCCCCGCCTCCTCTCGCCTTTGACTTTGTCATCATACAACAGAAAAAATGTGCGTTTTGGCGTTCTGCTGTGAGTTCGCAGCCATCGGTCTCTGACTTTTATGAGTTCCTGTTTTTTTGGGGGGGTGATGACTGGAGTGCAGCGCTCGGATAGCGGGGCAGCGTCCAGGGCTGTTTTTTTTTTCTTTTTTTTTTCTCTTTTTTTTCTTCTCCTTTCTCCATGTGAAACTAGCCAAAGCTTCCTGCTGGGGCTGGCTGGTTGCCAGGTCCCCAGACCCCAATCCAACTATTCCACTACTTCCCCACCCCCCAAAAGAAAACTCCAACCCCAACTCCAAACCCCACCCATCCTGAAAAAGAATTGAAACGTACAACGGAAATTTCCAGGGCCTCTACGTGCAGGAGTGCGTCCCCCCCCACCCCCACCCCCACCCATCCACCCCTCCACTCTTCCACCCATCCTGCAACCTCCCTTTGCCACCACCTCCTCCTTCCTCCCTCCCT